TTTTTTTAAAATTATTCTTAGTCTTTGCTGCGATCTCCAATGTTCAACCCTGTATAGTTGATGCGATCTCTGGAGGGAACCAAACAACGCTCCTGAAGATATTAGAGCGCAAGGGTGATCTTCGGAGCAATGTGCGAACGTATTTGTAAATCAAACCTTATGAAAAAAAAAAAAAAAAAGAAGATTTCGGGTCAAGAGAGGAAATGAAAAGGAAATAAAATTAAATAAAATCACGAATATTGATATTTATCGGTCGCCCATCCGGATGCCTCGCGAGGCTGTATACATGCTAATTTCTTTAAAGCTGTATGTTATTTCGTGTTGTGGGGGAAAGAGAATCATGGCAGAAGCGCGAAACTGAACTAAATAAAAGAAACTTTATATTACAAACGCGGGTCGGCCCATGCCTCTTCCGTGATATTGAAAACAAGACAGCGATTGAAAGCCACCAACAATATAGGTACAAAATGCGACACAGTTATCACGACTCTGTAGTGACCATTCTTTTTTCTTTCTGTTCGTTTCTCGAAGCTGTCAGGCTGTCGTGAAAATGATTATATAGTGGTGGAATTTCATCTTCCTGGGAGCAACTTTGACGGTAAAATCAAGAAGCGCCGATCGTCGTGTTTAGCTTTATGATTGTCGCGCTGTGAAAACAATTTGTGCGCCGCGTCGGCTCGATTGAAATATCGCAAATAAATTAATGCAGCCCTCTCAATCCTCAAGATGTCTTGGACTGCATGAGCAATCAAGAAAAAAAGTTTTCCAGCTTTTTATGCTTGCCGATAAATCTGTTCCAGCCCAACAACCAGTTTTTCTTTCGATCGATACAGTGAAATGGAAAACAGATTTAAACGGGTCATATGAGGGCACGTTTTTCTTTTTTGGCTGGCATTATTTATTTTTTTATTTTTATAGTTTTTAGTGGTTACTTACATTGTCGGACCGTAAAAATGGAATTCCAGTCACAGAAGGCAATAGTATACAGACGCCGCCAATTCAATTCAATTCGAGGCCGGCGTGCTCGCCACAGACTTTCCGATATATTTCTCGGTTCCAGTCCGTTTGAATCGGTAAAAGCAGCCCTTGGGGCATACCATTTTTCCTACTTTATAGAGCTGACAACCTGAAGAAAAGAAAAAAAAAAAAAAGAGCGGAAACTTGGTTTGGGATTTTGAGATGACGCTGGGATTATATTTCCCTTCGTTGGGTACTTTCTTCCCTGCCTATTTCTGGAGGAACCATAGCCGGCGTCATATTGGCTGAGATGTTTACACAACGTCGCTGGCAACAAAATAACAGGCTGAAGTTGAGCTAGTTGGTACATGTCTGTGTTTTGTCCCTATCGTTCTAGCTGGCCGTTTCCTGTTGCTGGCAAATCAGACGCGGTGCCAAAGGAACCTTTAGTTATGGCAGCCACGCGACTGCGGTGGCGCTGCTGTCGGTACCGCGCATGCGCAAACGCTTCACTCTTTCCGAATTCGGTTTTTGCGCATGCGCAGGGCCCACACCTGGCGTGGGCAAAGTGGGCTAGTTTGTAAACACTGTGTTAGTGAATACGAATGCATTGAGGGAATGAACGCTCCTCGATTTTCTTTAATTTTTTTCTAGGACTTCTATTGCGTGGCGTGAAAAACGAACGCGTGCTTCATAGGGCATTAACGTCAGGGATACGTTCTAAGCGGTATTTGCGCAAAATACAAAAATTGCTGCATCGTCCCTTTAATGTGAGTCACTGATGTCCCGGTGACCTGTACATAAGCTTTTGTAGCGTAACTTAAAACGGAGCTGTGGGAACTATAGGGCGTTTTCACATTATGTCAATCCGCCATTTCGTTGTTAGATGACAGCGTGATGAAATTTATAAAAAATTTTCTGCACTACTGATTTGAGGGTGTGGTGTGAGTCTTCGAAGTGCCCTCCTTCTGCACGCGCCAGACTGCTGATAACAACCAAATGGTGGATGAAAATGACGTCAGTCAAAACACCCTATACACCAACTCATGTTTACAAACAAACCGGAGCGCCCGGAGCGCCCCTAGCGGACGCCACCGGCGCCGCGCATGCGCGATGGGGGTGTGGGCAAAAAGCTCGTCGTCGCCCATAAACAAACCATTGAAATGCGATGTTGTCGGCGCCGGTGTGAGTCCCCGCGCTCTTTTTCGCGTTTAAACTGTTGATTCTACGTCCTCTTAACGACGTCTGACTACTTAAGCAGCGTCAGCGAAACTAGCGAGGCTCGTTACATCGCAAAACTTCGCGTGAATAATCTGACATGCGGCGATTCATTCCGCATGGACGCCGCAGAACGTACGCTAAAGCCTGATTCACATGATGAGATTTCGCTCGCAATTTTCAGTCGCGACGTCGTTCGGACTGCAAAAGCGTGAACCGTAGCTGAGATGGTCGACGTCGATACTGAAAATCGCAAGCAGAATCTAACCAAGTGAATCAGGCATAACAAGTCGGTGATGGCCACTGGTAACAATGATCAACATCTCATTGTATCTACTGCTTACGTCGAGCCTGCTTACCAACCTTCAAACTTAAGTCTTTTAAGGCCTGCACTTAATTCTTATCGCAAGTACCGGGCCCACGTTTGGTCTACGGGCCGGTGTCCTCTAAAAGAGCAGACGACAAGCAGAAACGTTTGAAAGAGCAGACGACAGTTCGAACGATCAAGCGACCGTTTGAACTTGAAGACACACTAAACGTAGTCCGCAGGTGGTCCGTACAACTTGACGGTTTTCCGGCGTTCATTTTGGAACCAAACAAATAAATTTGATGGCCAGTAGTATCCGTGAATTTAACCCAAAATGCTTCCCGCCCAAGCAATCGTGGTCGGACGGCGTCTGGTTATCCCTTTTCACGGCACATATCCGCGTTCTCGGACGAACCGAGCGCATGAAAACTGACCTTCAAACCTTTCTGGACTCTCTTGGTACAGCCCCAGTCGCAGCATTTTGACGACAAGGCAGGCTTTTGTCTGGTTCCTTTCAAAACAACGCAGGAATACACGTCTCAAATGGGCACTTCCGCCCACAGCCCCAGACCGGAAGTGCGTCCGACGCGCCACCACCGCGCCGTGACGTTACAGAGATGAGTTCGTGTATACTTCGTTTCAGCGCTAATCCCGACGCAGCCGACGCCATAATCTGATGGGAACAATGAGGCGGCATCAAAAGCGAAGCCACTGGGGCCTTTTTAATTTTTTTTATTTACATATGCTGCAGGCCCCACATGGGCCCAAGCAGGAGGGATAGCATACATAATAAATATAATACTAATACATACGGCAAAACACATGAACATAAACGCGTACATATAATATAAGGCTACGTTATACAATTTGTCATACAGCATAAACAACATTTTATAACAAAGGTTTCCAAATGTGCGCATAAACGAAAAAAAAATTGCATTTAAGGACCAGACTGGCCCCCTAAAGAAAATTTGTTTGTGATTGGTTCAGTGATGACAGAACACGTACACAGAGATGGCGAACGCCATGATGGTGCTCTTTTGACGCTGATTTCTCCAATCAGCTCGTAGTTTCGGCTGCGTCTAGACTTAAGGTGAAACGAAGTATATAGCCTAAAGACTGCTAACCTGACGCTCTCTTATCGTGCATCACGCATCGCTCCATGGATTACAGAAACAGGTGACTCTGTAACACCCCTTTTCCCCTTCTTACCGAACTAAGTCAATCTATATCGGAGCCCGCGGTGCGAACCTTTGTTTTCGCACTGTCCAGCCGCGGAGCAAAATCACACTGGATGTACCAAGTCCCTCGGACGTCAGTTCAAGTTTTAAAAAAGGCAATCTCTTGGCGGAAGATGGGTGGCCCAGTGTTCTAGACATCGTTTCATCGCATGTTCGAGCGCAGTCGTAGGCACGAACACATACAACCACGAGCACAAATACTAAACTCGCAAGTCATTAAGATGTAAATTATTGGTTTAGCAATGGTAGAGCACGTATAGCAACATGACGAACACCATGACGTTTCACCTTTCACGTTTTTTAGTTGGTCCCATCGGCTCGTAGCGTCGGTTACGTCTGGACGTATAAGGTGGAACAAAGCGCAGCACATGGTGCGAAAACTCGCGCTGCAGGGGCAGGGATCCTCACTTCAATCCCCACCCCTGCCCGTTTCTATTTGGATGAGCATCCTGCCGGCGTGCGTCCGTATATCACTACTGCGTGATGCATGATAGGGGCCCAGGCTAGAAGTGATACCGCACTGGCAAACTTTTTCACCTACAGCGGAGACAGTAGAAACTTCTTTGGTAAAAATTTTCACTGTGTAAACAAACAGACAACACAATTACTGTTTGGCCACACATGGGTATCTTATACGTGCAACCGGAATCTCGGTTACGCCGCGCCTTCTCTGCAATAAACTTTCGTCATAATGCGGGCAGCTCGGCCGGGATTCGAACCTGTCGATCCGTAGGCCGGCGCTTTGCCTTGGAACCACCGAGGCGGCTTTTTCTTCTTGGGGTCAAGTGGTGGTGGTATTATGGGTCCATATCACAAGAGCGAATGACATTTTAGCGAACAGCGACATTTGACCCAATCGACGTTTTAGCGATTAACAGGGGCGCGCGTTAACCCAACCGCCGCGCTGCGCTTTACGCCGCTTCGCGGCGACAGTCTGCGGGGGCTCATTACAAAAATGTGAACCCACTTGGCCCACCCGAAAACGCCGCTTCGCGGCGTCCGACTATTCGCTAAAGTGTCGCTCGGTGAAACGTGGGCGTTCGCTAAAACGTCATTCGATCAAGTGAGTGCCTCCCCTAGGTACCTATAGCTAAGGCATCTTTGTCACCTGCAGCAAATCAGTTCGCAATCCTTTGCGCGTGGCATATATGCTGGCGACTCAAAAGCGCCGGCTGATTCGCCGTTTGACCTATGTTAAAGGTACCTTTACGCTAGCCGTGTGAAGTGCCCGCACCCTATAGGCGGCAAAAAAATCCGCGTCTGTTTTTTGTCCGTAGACGTGTTCCGGGGCAGCTTCGTGGCTCCGGTCACCATCACGAGCTCGGGCTACCCGTCGGCGTATCCTCCGCCCTTCCACCGCTACCTGTGGACGGTGGCCATCGAGCCGGGCGACGTGATGGAGCTCATCTTCCTCGAGTACGACGTGCTGCACTGGGGCGCCTACAACGCGGTGCCCGGCTGCGGCAGCGTGGTCGTGGTGTCCGCCTGGCGCGAGTCGGACGGCCGCAGGGTGCGCATCGAACGTCAGGACACGGCGCCGCCGTACTTCATCTCGGACGGGTCGCGCACCCTGATGAACCTCACCTTCACCACCTGCAACCAGGTGATGAAGAAGACGCTGCAGAAGAAGGGCTTCATGGCCGAGCTCCGGAGGGCAGGTCCGTGTCTCGCGCGACGGTACACGTCCCTGGCACTATACCGGTGGTCCCTGCAGTAGAGCGTTTCCTGAGTCCGACCAATACCGCCTAGCAGACAAAGCCCGCGCGTGACGTCATCGTTAGTGAATTTCCGACCTGCCCCAAGAAGAAAGCACGCGTAAGCTTGACGAGAGTAGCCGCACTGGGGCGGAAGACGTGCGCATCTTGGCGTCACAGCGTACGCTAGCGTTTTTTTCTCGTTATGAGACCCTGCAAGACGCGCTGGTGTCGATGCTGACGCGGGCTAGGCGGAACCACGTGGATGCACTAATGATGACGCTTGGGAGGCGCGAGTCTTGTCTTCTAGGTGGTATTGGTTCAGCAGAGGTTACCTGAAAGTGACGATGACAAACTCATTGCTGCTCAATACGAACGCTAATTAAACACCAAAGCCGCGGTCCCTCTATATCAGACAATAGACTGTCTGCATTCGGTATATGACGGTATGACGCACATTTGTCATACAGAAACTGTTTGCAGACATGTTTAAAGGGTACATATGCATGAGGCGTGTCCACAAATAAGTTTGTCGTGTTTGCAGCGAATATTGTGTCTATTTGTGCGATCCCTTCAAAGGGCCAACGCGCCACTAGGTTTTCACTGAATTATATCTCTCTCAAGAAAAGTTACGGACGTGAAGTGATACATTTCTCATGTGTAAATTTGAGAAGGTCACAAAACTTTTAAATGATCGACGTATTCACACCCGCAGTTAACAGTATCCTTGTTTTAATGACATAGAAGGAAGGTTACGCGTGACGGTTTTGTGATGGTCAACCTTTATAAATTAGATGTGGGACAGTCGTGATCGATACCAAACTCAAGTGATCAGTCACAGCACTATGTTTCAGCTTTATATCAAATAATAGGATACGGGTGTCGCAAATCGCAGCGAGCTGTGGAAAGGTCGGGCACGCCTCACCGCGACAATAAAAGAAGATTGCCTTCCGAGGCTCACACTAAAGCTCCCGAAGGTCATGCTGAAAAGGAAACCTCTTGGGAAGCCTTAGAGCGGAAGCCAGCTTTTTCGCTGTTCATGAACGCAGCTTCCCTTCCCTTGCGGCTGCTTTCAGCGCTGGTTATGGGATTTCCTTTTTCGACACCAGTCTGTTCGACACAAGCTTTTGATGGGTTTATTATCGCCAGTTTCAGTGGCTCGCCATCTTCAGTAAGACACGAGAAATGTAGTGACGGCCCTGGGAGCATCAATACAACGTCATTACCCCATTTTTATGGGTGTTTCTATGCGAGAAGGATTGTCGACACCCCCCAGATATCTTTATCCACTCTTGTTTTTTTTTTTTTTTAATATTCTTATTTTCAGAATGTGCCGGATGCGAGGCTGGCCTCGGATTCAACAGTTCGGAAACACTCTGCGAGTCATCGTGCGGTGTGATCGCGTCTTACGGGTACGTAGTTCGAACGGAAGATAAGCGTGGCCACTCTTCTTTCCCGAGTGGACTCTCGAATGGGACATCCTCGTGGGAAACAATGATATCGGCTATCGGTTTTGCCTAATCTCAGCTGTTTTCCCCCTATCTTTGCCGGTGCATTTTCGCCTTATCGCTGGTACTTGATGCTCGAGGTGACAGGTTCCTCCTAAGCACGTGCTCGTGCGTCCACTGCAAAAGTGTGACGACGCTTGCTCTTTTACGTATAAAATGATTCCGAAAGTTATGCCGTTCTATACATGTTTGCAAGTACGGCCTCCGGGCGCCGCCATCTTGCTGCTGGTATGGGTAGATCGTCTGATAGTAAATCATTGCTTTACTATCAGACGATCTCACCAAGCATTGCTGAGGCGTACCCACGGCCTCAGCGATGCTTGATTATCAGATAATCTACCCACACCAGTAGCAAGATGGCGGCGCCCAGAGGCCGTGTTTGCAAACATCTATACATTGTTTCAGCGGTAATGGGACCAATCAAGCAGCGTCAAAAGCGCAAGTTACTAGGCCGTTTTAGTTTACGATAGGTTCAGCGATGATAAACCACGTACAGAAACATGGCGGACAACGTGATGGTGCGCTTTCGAAGCTGTCTGATTGGCCCAGGCTGCGTCTGGACTTAAGGTAAAACGAAGTCTAGTGTGGCCATGTTACTTGTTTCGGAGAGACAGTGAGTAAAAAAAGAGTTCAAAACATTGCTGGAATATTGACTGGATGCCTGAAGCGGAGTTTTGATTAGTTGCTTCGCGCCGATTGATGGGTACTCGGTGCCGTGATATCATCACGAAGCATCTTGTATTGCGGATTCAAGCGACAAATGAAAATATACATTGTCTCTATATTTTGTAAGAACTATTCAGAGTTCACGTGCCAAAAACCAGGCACTTCGTTTTTCCTTAAAGGGGTCATGAAATTATTTTTTCAACTTCTTTCTCCTTAGCTTTTATCCATACCACACATTCTCTTTCTGACATGGACCGTTGACTTAAGCGGTGGAGATACGTTCCCACGGCTTCTAGCGGATCCAAGCTGATCCGCTAAAAGAACTACTGGCTCTGCATTTCACCGACCATAAAGCAGTAATAATGAAGTCGAAACGCAACCCGGAACTCAGCACTACCTATGAGCAATAAAAAAAAAAAAAAAATCAGCACCATCAACACTATACCTATGAACAATAAAATCAGTATCATCAGCACCACCAGAGCTTCGCCCCAATAAACATAAATCACCACGTGGAGATGCGGTTATTTATTTATTTACGTGGTGCTGCTTTGCCTGTCGTGTGTATATATGTGTTCGATTTTCCAGAATAAAACTAGTTGAAAGTTAGCGCCTGTCCTGTTTACTTCTTGTCCTTGTTCCTGTTGCGCTATTTTATATGTTTTACTATTTATTTATTTATTTTTTGCGAAGGAGTGACCGAAATAAAAAATTCACTTTTATCCTTGGAATTCCACCGCACGAAGACGCTTCTTGGTAAAAACGTTCCCACCCAATATCGTTGCACAACCCCTCTACGTATTGCGGATCTGTCGTAGTAAAAAGGCGGAGAGCTTTCAATGAAAATGAGGTACGAAATAGTCCGCTATATTTTCAAATCTTCGTACCGAAAAGGATGTTTATGACTTTCTACTCTCTTTTGGCTCACTGAATGATTTGCGATTAGTAAATTTTAGAGTACTGAATGTGTCCAGAGTACCGAATTCCATTCAGTCCGCTTACCGAAAGTTAATCCCCGCAGAATCCAATTCTGGTTGGTTCGTTTAATCCGTGGCGGAAGTGATCAGTCGGCAATTTTGTAGATAGGCTCAAAACAACAACAAAAACGTATATAAATCTTTTCCGCGTAACCATGGCCACGGCGGGTATCCACGGGTGGGAGCTCTGGGAATCGATGAGTTGAGACCGAACAGAAGGTCCGTTGATTTTCTCTGGATTTGTTTTTTTATATCAAGTAGCCGCTAATCTGGTTCGCCAAAGAAGATTGCCGGCTCGTTTGCTCGCTCCGGTTATGCTGGCGCAGCGTTTCAAACTCTACGCCTCAGACGCTAAGCCTAACACTCGACTTTGATGTGTTTCGAGGCGAGAGAGTGAGGGGAGACAACGAGGAGCAAGTCACGCACCGCTCGGAACGAAGGAAAGAACTTTAATAAAACAAAAAAAAAAATGAAAGCCGTTTAAAACTCCCTGCAACACCAAATTAGAGCGCAGCTCTTGAGGAGGAGGAGGGAAGGGTACTGAGGGGAGGGTATATACCCCTCCTCCCTTCTCTTCCTCACCTTCTCATCCTGGTTGCTGCTCCTCCCTCCGAGCGGCGTCGCCGTCGGCGTAACCGTGAGGTCACGTAACCTCACGGGGGTCACGTGACGTCACCTGGGTCACGAATTCGCCGACGGTGACGGCGACGGCGACGCCGCTCAAGCCAGAAACAGCCGCCTAAGAGCTGCGCTCTAAAACAAACCAGTGTCGCCACAGACCAGGAACGTGTATTGAAGAGCTCACACGAGCACGACAGCTGCACTGTATACGCGCTTCGCTTCGACCGCACAGAGAAGCGCCATATTGGGGATCGCAACTGCTGCGCCGCGACTCGTTTCTGAAGCGAAGCTTGGGAGTTTCGGTACTCTGGGAACATTCAGTGCCAATCTAAAATCATTTATCCCCGACGCAGCCGACGCTGCGAGCTGATGGGATCAGTCAGACAGCATCAAGACCGCACAGGTATATGGTGTTCATCATGTTCCTGTACGTGTTCCATCATCGCTGAGCCAATCATAAACAAATAATGCCCAGTGACTTGCGCTTTTAACGCTGCCTGATTGGTCCCATTAGCTCGTAGCGGCGGCTGCGTCCGGACTTAAAGGACGATTTACACTTCGCGCATTTCGTGAAACGAATTGTGTTTTGTGTGTATTTTTATACAGTCTGAAGTTTCTCTGCCTCAACGGGCGACTTGTCTCTCAGCTGTAGTTGAGCCATTTAGCCAGTGCACAACTGCTGGCCTGATGTCTTTTACGTGCACCGCGCAGTTGTGATACATGACCGCACACCGCTCGATGCTCATCCAGATCGAAACGGACAGGGGTGGGGTTAAAGCACAAACGAAGCATAAACCTTTCCAGCGCTTATCACCCGGGCGAAAAACGCTGAATCACTGAGCTATTGATGCATGTGCAACGTCTGCCGCATGCATCTATATACCGCACAACAGAGCTACAGCGCTTGCTCAGAAGGCGTTCCACAGTCCAGCAGACAAAGATGGAAGCGCGCAAAAGGTGATTGTAGAGTGCGCCGGCCTTGGTGGCGTGCCAGAAAAGACGGCGTGTCGCGAATAACTCGATAGCGTTCAGGAGCTCGTGTCGCGCCGGCCTCGGTGCCGTTCCAGCAAAGCTGGCGTTACGCGAAAATCCTGATTGGTCGATAGGGTCGTGACGTCACAGCCACATGACGTAGGTTCGTCTGAAAAACGTACAGTTTCGATCCTTCGCGGAGGAGCGGAAAGTTTCCGTCCGTCGCCGAGTCCCGCCCAGTGGTGTTGTGATCCTGCCGTCATCGTTCGTCTGTGGAGAATGAGTACCCCACTGCGGGGCCGCCGCTGGTCGCCGAAAGAGAACACGTGTGCGATGGATGTGGTGCCGTGACCGTCTTGTCTACCAGTGCGGGGCACCCTTCCGAGTCGCCGTCTTCTACGAGTGTGGATGCCGCGTCTACGTCCGCTCCTGCTCGGCCACGTAAGACTGAAGCCGAGAAGGTGGAGACGAGCGCTAGGCTTGCAGAGGCGATGCGCCACAAGCGGGCCGAGGATTCGATACCGCTATCGGGTTCCACTCTTAAAGGCGAAGCTTAAGAGTCGGCTGACTTCTTTTTTTTTTTTTTTGGAAAGATCTGTCAGCGATTCTATCCGCGATGCATCGTTGTTTTGTATCCCAACGGTTTAGGCATATAGGCCGTCACACTGTTTACAAACCATTCCGCGCTTGTCCACACCGGCTGTGGTCACGCACAGAAACCAGATTCACGGAAAGTTGAGTGTGTGCGCATCCGTCGTGTCTGCAACAGCGCCGCTGCAGCAGCGTGATAGAAGAGCGGCTGGGAGTTGGTCTATGCCAGGGGTGGCCAGGCTGACCCGGCCTAAGAGCCGCAAACAAAACCACGAAATTTCAGAAAGCCGCGGGGGGGGGGGGGGGGGGGGGGGGGTTTCGGCAGCAATCTTTTGTCTAGAGCAATAAATGAAACTCTAACTACTTTCAATCTATCTGAGTTAAAAGCAGCCCAACAGTACGTAAGGTAGCAGTAGCCCAATACTGCCAAACCGCAACCTGTCTCGATTTAAAACGCGTTCCACTTCTCTTTCTGGGGAAGTGCTCGTGTGACCGGGAGGGAGGTGGGGGATGGTGTGTGTGTGTGTGGGGGGGGGGGGGGGGGGGGGGCAGCGCGAGCCGCACTTTAACACGCGAAGAGCCGCATGCGGCTCGCGAGCCGCAGCTTGGCCACCCTTGGTCTATGCTGTTATTATACGTGACGATTTTTTATCTATCGTCTTTTCATGATATACCTAGTCCAGATATGCGGATAGTCCAAATATGCAGACGAATTAACCGAAGGAATCATATGGAAAGAAAGGGACTAAAGTTTAGAAAGCTGCCTAAAAAATTAAATTTGGCGAAGCAGGGATTTCAACTCCGTGTCTCCTGATTACCGGTGTGGTATGCTAATCACGTCGCATTTCTGTTTATGCTATTTAGGTTATGTTAGAATATGTTAGGTTAGATTAGGCCAGGCCAGTTCGTCCGTAAACGTCATGGGGTGCGTCTGGACTCTGGACGATCATAGAGTGCCCCCCCCCCCCCCGTCGTCGGCAAGAAAACTTGGAGGGCTGTCGCAGTAGCTCTTCTTTTTTCGGTGATCGCACCAGGCGCAAAGAAGACGGACAGCTAACTCCGCCGACCTTCGTACTACTGGGAGAACTTCCTGTTTTCGGTGAAATGCTACGCCACAACCACGTAATTTCTCATTTAGCTGCTCAGTTGTTGAGTAAATCAAACTGATGTTTTAATTTTCTTCTGTAAAAAGTGAAAGGACTGAAACAAAAACGAATTCTTCTTATAATTCCCATAAACATATAAGATTAATTCGAGTCACTATCTAGAAAGAAAGAAAAATCATTTTAGGATTCATTTAACCCAATGTTTCTGTTTCATCATCTTGGTTCATTAGATTATCATTTGCTTCATGATCCTGCGAGCCGGCTCGGTTTCGTACGCGGCTTCCACGCGAAGGTACGGGGTTCATTCTTGGGCCCAGTTCCTTCTTTTCTTGTCTGTTTCGAAAAGCCCCAGTTCATTCTCGGCTGTTATCGTGTGTTCTGGTTTAGAACATTCCGGAACACAGCTCCTGAATAAAAGAAGCGGTATAGCACATTGCTTCGAGGTCAGTCGCGCTTTCGTCGCCGTCGCAGAATCTACAGTTTCCTCTCAAGCTTGATTGAATAAACATTTCCATTTCAGTTTTATATTCATCTGCTATTTTTCTTTCGTGACAATATATGTCTAGTCCTTAACTCTCCCAGTGAACTCGCTTAGGTGTGAATTCCACTTCTCATCTGCCGCCTCATTGGCTCCGAGGCAGATCGCCGGCCTATGGAGTCCAGATGGCGGGTTCGAATCCCAGCCGAGGATGACCGCAATCTGACGGAGGCTTGTTGAGGAGAGGGCGCCGCGTAACCTACATTTCGGTTTCACGTCAAGGGATCCCCAAGTTGTCGAAATTAATCCTCAGTACTCCGCCGCTGGGGCGTGCCAGATGCTCCTTGTTGGTTTGGCCCGTTGAACTATTGAGCTTCACTTTTTAGAGCGCAGCTCTTAGGCGCCCGTTTCCGGCTTGAGCGGCGTCGCCGTCGGCGTCGCCGTCGGCCTAACCGCGCGGTGCATTATGGGTAAATTTCCCCACTAAATCTAGAGGGAAAATTTTGGTCACGTGACCGGGGGGGGGGGGTCACGTGACCTGAGGAGTGACGTGACCACACCCCCTAGGTCACGTGACCCCCTCCCGAGGTCACGTGACCTCGGAGGGGGGGGGGGGGCACGTGACTCCCCCCACGTGACCCCACCAAAGTCACGTGCTCTCCGGGGGGGTCACGTGACCCTTTCCCCTATGTCACGTGATCCCCCCCCCCCCCCCGAGAACACGTGGCCCTCAGTACCCTTCCCTCCTCCTCCTCCTCAAGAGCTGCGCTCCAATTCGGCGTTACAGGAAGGTGTAAACGGCTTTCACTTTTTTTTTTCGGCTCCTCAGCTACCCGTACCCCCCGGTGTCGTACGAGAGTCCGGGCTACCACCAGCACACCTGGGTGTTGCGAGTGTCGCCCAAGCGCATCGTCCGGCTGCAGTTCAACGACTTCGACGTGGCCGGCACGCCAGGATCGCGCAACTGCAGCGAGGACTGGGGCATCGTGTCTGTCTTCAGCGGCGACAACACGAGCGACGCGTCCAGCCTGGTCGGCGGCTACTGCAACCTGAACCGCCAGGGGCTCGTCTTCTCCGAGACAAACGTCATGACGGTGGTCTTCCAGACACGCTTCAGGAAGATCGGCAACTCTAGGGGCTTCCACGCCACCTTCAGAGAGTTTCTGCCGGATCTGGCACCGGAAAAAGGTAGCTTACAATAATAGCGTTTGCCGAAATCGCTGCGCAGATTGTCTTTTAAATGCGATCGCATTTTGCACCGTCTTGTACCAAACGCTTTTTTTTTTTTTAATAAACTGTAGAAATGTTTTGAATATTTTTGGTGACGAAGTTTTCTATCACATTTAAAACCAATTTGCATAACAGTAAAGTTGTAATATTAGTAGAAAAGGACAGAACCTTGTAAAGAATCCGTACTTGAGAATAGTTTCGCAGAGACCAGCGCATTATCCTAAAATTTATTTGGCCTGGTTTTTTAGCATCCTTACTAAATATCTGTAAGTTAGTTTACAATGCAATGGTTTGGCGAAAATGTTCGCTCTTTTGCTACTTTATATTCAACTGTATTTGCACGTGACAATGGTACAATACGCCGGGTGTTTCAGCGGAGACTTTCAAAAATCCATAAAATAGGGTGGTTGAGAAAATATTAACTATTTTTGAGAACAAACTACATGTCGCGGCAGACGTCAGGGATTGCAACAAAACATGCTAATTTGCCAAATAATTAGATGAAATTTAATCATTCGCTTTTTAATTAGGGAAAAGTGAACATATCGTTCCAATCAAAAAAGTTCTGACCATCATCGAAAACCACTTAGTTGACTCAATTTAGAAAGACATAAGGCAAATACAGCATTTTACGACGTTAAAAAAAAAGATCGCTTAATTTCGGCACGTTGCAGGGTTTCGGTGGCCTGACAGAGCGCATCTTTGCGCCAGCGGTTCTGCCCCCACGTGGCCGAGGCGCGAAGCTACCGTCTCGCTTTTCTCGTAAGATGGAAGGATAGATGACGCACATGCGTGCGCACCTCGGCTAATGGGGGGTCAGTGCCGCCGGCGAGGGGATGCGCTTCGATAGTACACCGAAAAGTGAAAGCTCGTCCAAACTGAGCGTTTTATTGTAGCGCGGTAAAATACCGTTTACCTGCATTGAATCTTCCCCGAACGAGCTGAGTTAGTGGTTCTCGATGATGCTCAGAAAGTTTAAAATTTGCACCATGTGTGCATCGCCGCTAATTATAAGTCTAATATTAAATTTTTAGTTCATTATTTAGCTAACTTGCACTCATTTTGCAGTCCAAGACATACGCCGTGGCTAACATATTTTTCGCGGATTTTTTTTATTTTTTTTTATTTTCGACAACCTTATATTTAGGCACTTTTGAAAGTCTTCGCTTAAATACCCGGTATCGTAAACACTGATGACGTTACCTGTTTCCTTATAATTTTTGTTACACATAAAAAAAAAAAAAACAGAGCAAACAAGCTTTGCTGCCCGCCCAAGTTCAATTATGGCTCATACCTGATTGAGCTCTTTCTCCCGTCCACGTGCCATGCGGAAATTGCCCTCGGTACTCCTCGCCTAGAAGAAATTTGTCTTTAAACAATTATTTTATTTTTTAGCTTGCGTGCATATGTGTGTGCACGTGCGTGTTGTTTGTGCGCATACGTGGCAGTAATGAACAAATACGAAACACGAAGGTCACGACTCACGCGTTACAGAGGCGTCTCATCTTATCAAGAAAAATGTTAAATATTGTAAAGCACAAAAAAAAAACAAAAAAAAAAACGGTCGGGGGTTGTTTTATTTGAGTTTATGTTCGAGGGGATCTCGTACTGGAGGATATAGCATGAAATGTTTGCTAGACATTATCGGGACTAAAACAAAAGTTATACCGACTTACCGCCAGCCTAACGCTCGTGTGTTCGCTAAGCCCACCGGTGAGACGAAAAATAACTGCGCGAATTAATGAGATTGGCGGTAAAAATGTCGCGTTCATCATGCAAGGTAACCGCGGCCGTGGCGCGCACATGGTTGTTCCACCAGCGTGGCTTTTCCCTTAGGTGTGTGCATAGGACGAGCCAATATATTAAGACACGCGCGTTTAAAAGTTGGTAATTACATGCGGCTGAGTAGCAGAAAAAACAGAAAAAAAACATCTAATAAGGTTTTTTTTTCTTTATACTGATACAAACACGAGCTGATTAAAATATTTAACGTAAGCTGCATGGGGATCGCTATCCGTCACGGCTCCTCGATGGCATATTCTGTCGATGATGAAGAGGGAGGGAGCACTGCGGCGTCTGCTCTTTCTGGTCTATATGAACAATTCTGCCAGTGCAGAATGAATGCTATCGGGGGTCCTAAATGCGCTTAACACGGTATTGCGATCACATGACAATATGGCAGTTCATGTTTACCCATTTTGAAACGGTCAGGGCAGCCCCGGACCACTTTCGGATGACCCCTGGATTGTGCAACGCGAGTTTTAGCCCCTCGCGCTTAGAACTGCAGTGCGCTAACTTATTTGGTGCGTATATTTTTAAAAGGGATGTTGTTGTTCGCGCGTCTGTGTTAGTATCTTTGTGTGCACGTGTCCACTTTTAAGAAACGCCTGCGCGTCTACTTAGCCGCAAAACACTCGAAGAGCCGATCTCTGCAATCTACAAAATCAGTTCAGCGAATGATGAGGCAGAATTTATGTTTAGACCTAAAAATGAAGTCTGCGCTGTGGCATTACGCAATGCAAATATGACGCTTTGCATTGCGTAATGCCACAGCGCAGACTTCAGTTTTAGGTCTACATGGATGTTTCGCCTCATCATTTGCTGAGCTGATTTTGTAGATTGTTTTGCGGGAGGTGTTGTAGGCGTTACCGAAGAAAAGTAACGAAATACGTTACTCGTGACTTAAAAATAAAAATGCGTTACCCCCCCCCCCCCCCCCCCATTCCACGTTACTCCAAAATAAAAGGAACGCGTTACCGTTACCGATAAAAAGTAACGCACGTTACTTTTGCGTTACTTTTTAAAATCATGAATTGACTTGTTTTATTGTTTTCACGTTACAGTTTTGGGTAACCGCCATATTTCAAGAAACATTATGTTCATGCAGAAGCTGAACATAATTACTTTATCTTTATTACGGTTTCACCTAAATACTCACAAGAAAAAAATGCAAAAAAAAAAAACGAAGAAAAACTCAAAAATTTGCATGTTTTGGCGCCTGAAACACAAAAGATGTGACGCGTAATTTGTTTATGTCACAGGAAGAAAAAGTAACGAGTAACGCCACTCCGTAACCCGTTACCCGAAATAAGTAACGCAAATACGTTATCCGTTACTGTTTTGAAAAAGTAACTGTTGTGTCATCATGTCCGAATCGAATGTCATGTGTCGGTTAACTGTGACGTCACTCTTTAACCTATAGATAGCGCGGCTGCTATCAGTATAAAAGCAGCCGTGAGTGTGCCTACGGGTTTGTTGTATTCTTGGCATCATCGAATAAACATGCAAGCTGCAGAAACTGAGTACTTCCCTAGAGGCTAAAACAGTGGCGACGAGGATGGGATAGCCGAGAAGACAGAAGCCAGCACTGTCATCGGCAAAAACCCAAGCGCCTTGACCGAGGACCACGGGATGGCTTCGTGCGGCGGCCGGTTCGAGCAGTTCATTGAAGATGGGGAGGAAGACTTCGAGTCGTACGTCGAGCGGATGGAACACTATCTTCGAGCAACGAAGGTGAGCGACGACTTGAAAGTCTCGGTCTTCGTAACGGCCATCGGGAAGCAAGCGTACCGCACGTTGAAGACGCTGTTAACACCAGTGAAGCCAGAACAAAAGGACTATGCGCATCTGGTCGCGGTCCTCAGGGAGCATTACGCTCCGAAGCCGATGGTAATCGCCGAGCGATTCAGATTCAACCGGAGGGCCCAGCTCGAGAAGGAAACGGTGGCGACATACACGGTTGAGTTAAAAAGGCTCGCGGCCACCTGCGAGTTCGGGCAGTTCCTGGATGAAGCACTCCGGGACCGTTTTGTCGCGGGGCTGAAAGACCAGGCAGCCCAAGCAGAGCTTCTAAAAAAGAAAACTCTAACTTTTTCGGCGGCATGCGACATTGCCAGAAGCATTGAACTCGCACGAGCAGAGACCAAGATATTTCAGCCAGCAGCCTCTGAACAACTAGAGGTGAACGCCGTCCAACGTCTAGGCCCACACAGGAACGTCGGAGCGGCTACCAGGAAGGCGACGATGGAAGTCAACACTGAGAGGCCCGAGGCGTCAGGCTGTTTCCGCTGCGGAGCACCCCATCACGAGTCAAGTTGCCCGTTTCGGAAGTACAAGTGCCGAGCGTGTAGACGAGTGGGGCACTTAGCAAGGGCCTGCAAAGCAACGTCCCGTTTGGTGCAAGCCGTGGACGACAGTGAGGAAAACGTTTGGCTGTACAACATTGGCTCCTGCAGTGCTAGAAAAGGGGGTTACACTACTGAAGTTCGAGTGGCGGGAACACTGGTGACAATGCAAGTTGATACAGGAGCCTCGGTTTCCATTGTGCCTGAAGAGGTGTATAAGCAGTACTGGCCTGGATTGTCTCTCTCAAACTGCCGCCTAAAGTTGAAAACTTATGGGGGCGTGCCTTTGGAGGTATTAGGCAAGTTGATTGTACCGGTGGAGCACAATGGGCAGACCATGACGTTGTCGCTTGTAGTGGTTCGCACACCGCAGAAATGTGAGACTGTGTTAATGGGCCGCGATTGGCTAGAAGCGTTGAGGCTAGACTGGATGAGCGTGTATGGGGTTAGTCTAGACCAAGTGGCAGGGCTGGTTGACCGATTCTCGCAGGTGTTTGAGCCTGAGCTGGGATTAATCGCGGGCAGTCAAGTTAAATTAGTATTGAAGGACGACACGACCCCAGTCTTTTGTAAACATAGAACTGTACCATTCGCTTTAAGAGAGTCAGTAGAACAAGAGTTGCATGCGCTCGTGAAAACGGGAGTCCTGGTCCCGGTTCAGCAGAGTGAGTGGGCAACACCGTTGGTCGTTGTCCCTAAGCCGAACAACAAAGTGAGGTTGTGCGGCGACTATAAAGTGACGCTGAACCCGAATCTCAGAACAGACCACTATCCCTTGCCGGTAATGGAAGACGTGTTTGCAACGCTACACGGGTGCAAATATTTCACGGTACT